GAGAGAGAGAGAGAGAGAGAGAGAGAGAGAGAGAGAGAGAGAGGGAGGGAGAGAGAGAGAGAGAGATCACACGCGTGACAGAACGAGTTTAAAAACCACTGGAGAAGGAAGCCGAGTGTCCTGCTAACGGTTTTACTCATTCCTAAATAGCTGAAACCACATTTTCATCGCTTGTTGTTACGGGAGTTGTAGTAATAACGCGGAATTTCCCACTGTCTGCTGTAATTGTTAATTGTTTCACTCCTTCTTCCTTCCTTCTTTTTGTTTTTGTTTGCTCATCAAATCACTCCTCCATTCACGCTTAGAATCGCCCCAGCTTGACAGATCCTCGGGTTGCCAGTTTGAACCTGCCCACGCGCAATAATGACAATTTCCAACAGGTTGTTTAATTGTTTGGACTCTGGCAGAACTATTTATACCCCCCCCCCCACCCACGCACACACACACACACACACACACACACACACACACACACACACACACTCCTCCTTAACTCTCTTGTAAGTGAGAGTGTCTGTCTGAAAAACAATCCGAGGAAGGGGGGGTCCGCTGGAGTCGATCTCCTGTGGTATTTTGTTTTGAGCAGGTGGTGCGAGTTGAAGTTCCCTCATAAGGTAAAGTGGCATTAGAGGGTCCAAATGGCAGACTTATATATAGGCTGCCAATTCAGCACATTGTTCAGGACTGCATGGCTGCGCTTTCTCCGCTGTCTGACGGAAGACCTGCGGCTTTTTTTTCTCCTCCCCCTCTTCCTCTGTGGGAATCAGCCTTGACAACAGGCGGACAAGCGTGAACACAGCGGCTGAACAATGTGAAATGTCCATCGGATCTCGAGCAAGTGGGAAATAATCGTCACCCGCCTTATAAAATATATATAAAAAACAATTTGATTTAGTCTGTATAATATTTTCACAGATTTAAAATACAAAACAAATGTTTTAATTCCGTCCTTGTTTTTTCACAGCTATTTTTAAAAATTTAGTTCTATTTTAATTACATCACACCATCATTTGATGTGGACAGTCACATTTTCTAATTACATCTTCCTCTGTTCACTTCATCGGCATGCTCCTTGTTTTAGCTGTGATTCAAGAATCATCACATGACATTTATTTCCAACTGAATCCTGAAATGTTTGAAAATTTCAGGTTTCACTTCTTTTTATTTGTCTCACTGTGAAGCGTTGAAAAATGGGCTTACTTAGAAATCCAGCATCAATTTGATGTGCCACATATACGTCTTCTTCTTCTTTTTTTTAAGGATGCTGGGAGGCCTTTTTCCTGTGGTGTGATTCAGAGAGACTCTTTAGTGGCAGACAGAAGGCACAGTCGGAGGGGCAAAAGATTAAGAGATCTTACAGCTGTTAGAAAAAAGGGGGACAGAATAGAGTCAGAATTTCGGCACCAATCAGACACTTGCTGCAGAAGAGACCCAATTTTGATTTTTAGAATTTACTATAAGTTATATAAGTATATGTATAATATATAAGTTAACTCTCTTTGGCATTACTGTTGTTTTAGTTGCATATTGAGCTTAACATCTATCTAACATCTGACCGCACTGTAGCAGATCCGAACGTTTCCATATGTTGTTTTTTTGGAGGATGTCAGTCACCTTCATCGGAGACCCATCTCTTCACAATTTTAAGCCTGTGGCCAATCTGGAGAGTCCTAATTATTTGTTTTCAGGCTCTTTGAAAAAGACACCAGCCCCCAAATTGGACATGTGTTGTACAAACACAAATTAAACATTTAGCCGTAAGTATTTCTCCCTGAGTCCTAAGTGCATATTAGTCAGCCTATACTTATCTCTGGCCCAACGGCACACCCAAATTGCAGTGTTGCTGCTGAAAAAGAAAGGTTGGGGCCCCAGAGAATGAGCACTTGAAACATGCTGGCAGATGCCCATAAGTTTCCCAACCAAAGTGGAAGCTTAGGTGTGTTTGTGCGCACAGTGCATGTATGTGTATGCTTGTTTAGTGCACTTTCACATCTTTTGTGTTTTTTGCGCTTGTCCAGAAAGAAATCAGACAAATGTGTGACTAATTGTTCTCACGCGTATTTTCACTGATTACATTGTGTTTTTGCACATGAGCGTGCACCACGGCAGTGTGTGTGTTCTTGTAGCACAGTTAGGTGTGTATCCTATAAAAGGATTTTCAGTGTGTTGTATGGTGCATCCTTGTCATGAATTTCTATATTTATAACAAGGCTTTCTGCCCGCACGCATGTATGTGCCTTCATTGCGAGTGTGTGAATGTGGGCCTGACTGGATGGACATCCTGCTCTATGGATTCGTCCCCATGTTTCCACCATGATATAACCCTGGAAACAGCTTCTTAATTTTTCCCCTGAGCAGAGAATAACGGGGTGCCATTTTCATTCTTCTTTCTCCTCTCTTTCGGTGGTCTCGAGGTAACCTTTTCTTTCTGCCGGTGAATCTCCAGCACCTGCTCCCAGTCTTCCAATTTTAAAAGCTCAAAATAAGAGCTTACCTGACACATACACTTCTTAATCTCCTCCATGCAAGCACACAAGACACACACTCTCTCGTCCATGTCACATTTTTGCATACAGTATGTAGTCTTTGCTCGGCATTATGGCATCTTCTCAGATTCACTGCATCTCTTATTTTGGGGTTTCTTGATGCACAGAGGAGCTCAAACTTTCTCCATCTTCATCAGCTGCTTTCTGCCTGTTCTTTCTTTATGCATCGTGTGGCCAACCTTTGATGTCTGCAACATTAACATTAGCTCTTATATACATGCAAAAGGATAGAGTAAGATTTCTAAATATGTGGTTTACACGAGCGCTTTGACAAATGGTTGTTGTACTGTTAACACGGACACAGACTAGGCCTTCTGCCTGAAGAGGAAAACTTCTAAAAGGTGGCTTCAATCCACCTTAAACCTCTTACTGTTTTTTTCTTAAACAAAAGCTCTTTTTAATCATATGATATAAATTTGTAAAACAAAAAACATTTGTAATTTTTTTTGGTTCATTTTGAGATTTGAATGACTTGGCAGTGGAAATGGCAGCATCGTTCTTGCTGCTCTCTTGCTTTTTCTCGTGTGGAAAAACTTACCATCACCGCTGACACGAAACAGAGAGCTGCCTTTTCTCCACGCTGCAAAAAGTCAT